CCTATTCGCAGCAATACCTACGCGCACGGCCTCGGCATTCTGACACCTGTACCCCAAGCCCGATACGCAAACCAATCTCCAGCGCGCTCTACGTCCCTGAAGAGAAGTAACTCTCGCGCAGCACCGCCTTCGCCTGCCATGGCTCTGGTGGATCCGTACGGGGGAATTGAGTAAGAGACCCCATTCAACAGCATGTAACATTGGCAGGGTGTTTGGCTACAATGAAAACTTCGCGCTTCATGAGCTCTTCGCATCGCTTTGAACTGGTTGGGCAGGCTGAGTTGAACTTGATGTGGGCAGGTTTTTCTCGAGCCGGTCTGACACGAGAAGGCCTAAGATAGCGAAGCCGGTGATACCGAGCGAGATCCTCAGGCGAGTCTTCGCAGGCAGTACTGTGAACATAAGTAAGATTGGCACGAGGCCAGGTGAACACTCCAAGTCGCACCTGCCCATGACTCCCATACCGACCGCTTGCTCACCGGGATATCGCGAAAAGACTTCGGGGACGAACTGGAGGATTCCGGAGTTTGTTTCGACGACATGGAATCGAAGATGGAACACCCGGAGCGTGCAGGTGTATGCCACAGTTATGGTCCAGGTCGAGGAGCCGCACGCCTCAGACCCCGGAGCGCCACAAAGATACAGACCCCGCAGACTGCTTGCGCGCTCGTTCCTCACACGTGTATAAGGAAAACGGGGACTAGTTTTTCTGCGGTCTTACGCTGGGAAAATTTGAAGTGGCCGAAAAGGAGGCACAAAGTGCTTTAAAATCGGCGGAAAGCTAACTTCATTCCCAATTTTTCTCAGGCGTAAATCGGAGAAACATATGGCCAGGTGCACAGGTGTTTAGTCTGCCAACTTGAACCTCTTGTTCAACCAGTTTTTGACTAATTTTCTAAGGGAAAAAATTGCTCTTGTCACCCAGTGTCGACCTCACTCTCTTTGATCAGTCCAGCTGAGACGACAAATTGTATGTATCTGAGCCACCCTTGGATGTAACTCGTGCTCACGGTCGCATGCGTTGTAATATGCCCATCTCCCCGCGACGGAAACTCAGGCCTGGATCCTTCACGCAATAATTCTCATTTTTCAACAAGACACTATGGATGTAGTTCTCCGGGACTCTGGTCCCGGATCACAGTTCAGCACACCAGTCCTTAGCTTCTAGCCCTGCTACTCGAGCGCTCTCAGGCTGGTGATGTTCACCTTTCCATAGATTGCCTCATCATCTCGGGAATTCTCGAGATACGCGAAGCATTGGAAGGCTTGGGTCTACTTTTTAGTTCGGTATCTGCTAGAATCTCGTCGCTTGTGATATCTTGCTCGAGCAAAGACTACCGCCGCATGCTACCGCTGCTATTCCCTTCCAAGATCTCTCGGCTCCGCCATCTAACACTCTCAAGTTCTTGTCCAATCAACTCTTTACCCCGCCAAGCCGCATATTCCCATGCGACTTCTCGATTTTGCGGGAGCTGACCCTGGAAGGAGCGGCCTGGGATTGGGAGGCTCTGAGCATATACGTCTCACTTCGGAAACTTAGGATCAAGCAACTGTACGACATCGCTAAGAGCAGTACGCGTGAGGTGGCGCAGACGCTCCAAGCCATGCCTCACTTAACTCATCTGGAGCTTCTCTTCTCCTGGTTCGACAACCGCGATGCGGTTGAACGCTATCAAACCGACCTGCCCAAACTACAGTCTCTTAGCCTTGGACACGACGCAGCCAAATGTTCTTTCTTGCTGAGCTGCATGTCGACCCCTTCTGTTGCATTGTTGACAGCCGATATCATGGATTGGGACAATACTGCCGGGGACACGGTCAACCCCAGCCGTTGCACCTCTCCAGCTGTGCCATTACCCTTGCCATCTCGCTTTTGTCTTGCGACGAGCAATTCGCCGAGTCCAAATTCTGGCTACTACGCCTGGAGGTCCTGGTTCTGGAGGAGATGCTGACGTCCCACTCCGAGAGATCCAAGAATTTGTGGATTCTTCTGGCGCAGAAGCTGGACTCTCGCAGGACGTCGTGTCCTGTCCGGAGACTGGTGCTACAAAGCCTCGACGCCAAGTCTCTTGAAGAAGCGAACGAATCGCTGCGGGGTTTGGTAAATGGCTTAGTGGTGGACATGCGTGGGCCAAGGAATTAAGGCCAAGATCTCTATCAATCTATTTGAATGCGCAGCGATGGCTCCAAGAGGGCATAATTTGAGTCAAGCTTTTTTCCATACCGAATCTTGGTATTAGCATATACGTATATGACACGATGCATGGGGTATGTAACTTGATGGTCCTACATGTAAAATGCTGAGTACTACAGAAATGTGTGTGCTGCCGTTCCAGCCGGAGTGCATGAGCATGCCTATAATTCCAACCGAAGTAAGCGTCCCTCTATGGCGACGACGACGGCGTCACCGTGATGGGCGGGAGAGGCGACCCGTTAAGAGCACTCTCATCTGTTATCAGCGACGCCTCAACCTCTTCTTCACTCGTAAGCTCGTCCGACACCGACACGTGCGACGGCGAAAGCGGTCGGCTCGGGTCGTCATCCGTCGCCGCATCCGTAACAGTATCGTCGGCGGCGTCGCCGTCTATTGTCGTTGAATGTTCCCCACGCCAAGTCCGTGCTTCTTCCTCGCTCAGAACCTTCGTAACATGTACACTGGGTTCAATGAAATCTTCCGGTTTCGTTTCCAATGCCTTCCGTCCTATGGCTAGCATATCATCCAGCATCGATCTACAGTGGCTGTAGATTTCATCAGCCTTCGTATTTGTAGTCTGTAAGTCCTCTCCTTCCTCGCCATCTTCTGCGTCGTCGTCGTCGGGAGGCTCTTCTACGTCCAATGAAGACTTAGCGGCGTGGTAGACAGATGGTGGCAGCGAAAGCAAGGATTCTCGTAGCTTGTGGCGCAACTCTTGGATTTCTTTAGCCTGCTTATTTTTGGCAGATTCGAGCTGGGTGTTGATGACAAGGAGTGACTTGTTCGTGATCTCGAGGTCGGCGATCTTCGGCGAGTATTGTACGTCAGTTGCGACGGGGACACAGCATGCATGCGCACCTTTCTGTTAGAGATAGCCTCTTTCCTCAGCTTCTTGTCCTCATCTTTCTCGAATTCACGATCTACCCCGTCTTCGCTTCCGTCCTCATTCTCGTCACTTTCCAGCCGCGACACGGGAGACGGCGAGTCCTGATGAGGCTCCTGCGACGGCTTCAGCACCGGAGAATACTGGATGCCAAGTCCGTCCACGCTAGAACGCGAGCGAGCATGTCTGATGCCGTTAGCGAAGGCGTGTCCATTTACTCTATGATGAGCGGTACCCCCGCTTGAGTTTGAGCCTCGCGACTCGATTGATATCGATGATCGCGACGAAAATGAAACGGCCGACATGGATGGTGACGTCGGGGGAAGAGGTATTTGAGCGGGATCGACGCGTCCCGGAGAGCCAGGCCGCGAGTACGTTACTTTGGAGTCATCGAAGGGTACGAACGGCCGGAAAGGATTGACCTTGGGGGGCGCCCTCTCGTTGGTGGTCGCTAATCTTCCATGTCCAGATGTAGATGAAGGGCTGAGGCCGCTACTCCTTGAGGGCTTTGTGGGGTCGAGCGGAGGCGAGATCGTAAGGTTAGAGCCGGATGGGACACGGGTGGGCCGGGAATGTGGAGGGAAAGACGGAGACGTTGGCACGGAGGAGCCAGGCTGCACACCATGTTCTGCGACCCTCGTCACCTTTGACCTGACCTTTATTGTCCCTCCCCCGCTACCACTCACGACTGATGATGAACCAGAGTGATTCTCTTCATTAGAGGCCGTCGGCGCGAGCGCGGGTGGAGAACAAACACTACGAGCACCTACAGAGCTCGTCGATGTTGAGACACGGGATGAAAAGCTGCCTCGACGCGATCTTGCCGGCGTGTCGGTCAATGCTCGCTGTCGGAGCTCTGGTAAGGACGGGGACGGCGCAGAGGTAGCCGCGGTGACATTCGACCGAACCGTGAGCGTGGGCTTCGCCTTCGCGTGCGTCTCACTCGTAGAGGACGGTGCAGCTCGAACTTGCGTAGGCTTGAATGGAGAAGGGGCTCGCGCTGGAGGTGCGCGTGTAGTGGAGATGGTGGAAGCGGTCGGCGCACTGAGATTCTGGGCGGAGGGTGACGCGACAGGCTTGCGTCCGACAACGCTTGCGCTGCTGCTCACTTTCGCCCTGATTCTCGGGGCAGGGGTCGGTGAAGTTGAAGTGGGCATAGACTTCAGGGGAGATGGTGGACGCGAGCGGTCATGGCCGAACCTTGGGGTAACCTGGAATGAATTCAGCTGCAAAGCAACGCCACCCAGGGACCGCAGAGTAGACCTTTACTCTAATTTGTCCGTTCATGACACATTATATATGTAGGGAGATGGAAGTCGTAAAAGGAAGGGAGGACAACCCGGTTGCATACGAGAGGGTAGCAGAGCAAGCCCAGGCGGCTCTCACTGAGCCCGCCACAATTGATCAGTCTTCCATTCCGGGCAACGCGCCGGCGCGTAGGCCGCCGCGCCCGCCACTCAGAGGGCGGGATAAAATATTTACACATGTACACATCTTTCCGTTGTTTGGTTACTACTGAATGCCTTTCTTTGCGAGTACTTCTTCAACGACCTTCTCTACTAGCGATTTTATGGGTCCACCATCTCCACTGAGGGCCGCGGTAACGCTCTTCTCCACAAATTTACCTACCATGTCGGCTTCGATGTTGACCTTGGAGCCAACAGGCTTCTTTCCAACAGTGATCTTCTCCTGAGTATGCTTAATGAGCATGACGCCAAAGGTCCGGTCAGCATCGTTTACGGAAGTAAGGGTGAGCGAGGCTCCGTCAATCGCGACGTAGCCCTTGGGAATGAGATAGGGCAGAAGAGAAGGACGTGCGGGGGTGGGCTCAGGAAGTTGGAAGAGAATGCGAATAGAGTCCCCGTCTGGCTTCTTCTCTACGATAGTAGCGGTGGTGTCGACATGTGCCTGAAGGACGGGCGAGTCCCTTGTCAGGAGAAGTCGCTTTGAGAACACACATACACACCTGTACAAAGTGTCCGCCAAAGCGAACATGTGCGCCCATCGCACGTTCAAGATTGACTTGATCTCCAACCTTCAGTTCCCCTAAGTTGCCAATTTCGCCGAAAGTCAATCTCGACTTCCAAGCATTCATGAGAGGGAGACGCACCAAGATCCGTTCTTTCCAGCGTCTCGTTCGCCAGCCAAACCTTGAACCACCCCCCGTGCTGCACCTTGTCAAAGTCCGTGGCGGTTAAGCACGCGCCATTCACGGCGATCGAGTCCCCGGTGTGGCAGTCGTCGAGGACGGCAGCGGAGTCGGCAACCGTCAATGTGCAGCCACCAGCATCGTGTTCGATGCTCGAGACGGTGCCCAGGTGTTCAATCTATCACACGGCGACATTCAGCGGGCTGTACACACAGTATCACGATGGGCATACCAGACCTGTGAACATCACGAAGATGGGGAAGCAGGGAAGGTGTGACGAGTAAGAGATCGAGTCTCTAGCAAACTAAGGACTGCAGTAAGATCGAGTACGAACGGGGGTAAGGAAGATCACAACGTAATTATGAATGTGGTGAAGAGCTGCTAGGACTCGGGTCTGCGAACACCCCGACGGTCAGCCGTTTCAGGGGCGGAGCGCGCATGAGACCCCATGCACCTCTGACCGTGGCATGCAATGGAAGCCACGGAGCTAGGAGGCCCTGAGATACCTGATGATGACGGCTAGCGAACAAGACGCACAAAATTTCAATACTTAGCAAAACGGGAACGTTGAATACGATGGCTAAGCACTATGACACTCGGAAAACATGTGTTGATCTCAAATGCCTCAGAACACCCTCTCGACAAAGGAATGGTAGCGGGAATATATGGCATTGCACATCTAGAGACTGCACATACGCGAAGAATTGCAAACAGAGAAGGGTATGACGTCCGAGGTATAATCAAACACGAAGCGGCCAAAGAGCGTGATGTATAGAAGTGCGGTGTCAAAGATCGTGTGTGCTTCTAGAATGTAATGTCTCAAAAATCTCCTCAAGTAACTCTCGCTCACCCGCAGATGTTGGGGTACATAAGCTGCGTCGGGTTCTGTGGGATCCAGCCATTCGCGAGACCAGCCTGGTAGGTCCAGTCGTCCGCGTTCTCGGCCTTCCATGTCCACTGGATCCAGCCGGAGCCCTTCTCGAAGGTAATTACTTGAGCCTCCCAGTACTGCCGCAGGAAGGTCTTGTAGCTCGAGCTGAACGACGAAGCGCTGCCGGTGAGTCCGTCGCAGCTGCCGACGAAGGTGGAGCCGGGGTATGTGCCGTCGTAGCGCGCGCCGACACCGCGCCCATTCAGGTACGTGGCACAGTCGGTCGGTGCAGGGGTCCATTCACCAACGATGATCCAAAGATCGAAGGTCGACAAGGAAGACGCGTAAGCACAGGCCGCCGAGATGTGCTCCTGGTCAGAACGGGAAACTTCCTGGATTAGGGTTGAGCATAAGTATAGCTGCATGATGCACGAGGCATAGCAATCACGTACATCCTGAGAGAACATCTGGTAGATATGCGTGTCCATCGCAACGCCTTGCCAGCCCGGAGGGGTTTGGAAACCGTTCCAATAACTGCAGAGGTTATATTTAGAACAATGACAATAGCAAAGCGCCACTGTGAGACACCATACCTCAAAGGTTGGAAGGCATCATGGAGCAATACAACGGTATTCCCCTCCTGTGAGGTGCCGTAGGGGAAACTATGTCATGTCAGAAAAAAAAATTT